ACTTGGTTCTAAAGGATCAGCTTAAACATGAAAATTTACTTATGTTGCAGAGCATTACAAATTCTAATTACCCCCATGATACAAGAGACCTTGGAATTCACTCATTCCAAACTGGGTCATTTTACCTGAGCATCTCAATTTACTCTTCTGTAATACAGATTGAGAAATGAGCATTCTACCAGGCCCTATAAGACTGATTAATGAATTCGACCAAATCTTAAGATGACTTTAAGGTATTAAAATATCTTAGATTCTATTAACAATATAGTAATAAAATTAACACCATGTTGTTATAATTTCAACATCTGAAAGTATTTAATTTTTTTAAAAGATGAAACAGTACTAATCTTCCTAAATGTAAACTAAACATTACTTACGTAAAATTAATCTCTAAGTCACACAAAATGTATTCGGACAGATATATTTGCCACATGGGAATTATCTGGAGTAAAATAACATGCTCAGGTTAAACCAATTCATCCTCATCACAATACTTGGGATTCTACTTTCAAGCAAGAAAAAGATACCCGTATTATCACATGAGGAAATTCACATCTTTTCCTTTTTAAATTCAAATTTTTAAATACTTCTCTCTCTCTCACACACACACACAACATACCCAGGCAGGAAGAGAGAAACAAATGAAGCATTATAAATGCTTTTTTTTTTTTTTTTCTGTGACAAGGTGAATGCAAAAACAAAGTACTCTTGCCCTCTGCATTGCAGAGAAATACTTCATGCAACCAATGGGAGAAGCAAATACATCAGAGATTTTTAACTCTGTCAAGAAAAACTTCAGGGCGCCTGGGTGGCTCAGTCGTTAAGTGTCTGCCTTCGGCTCAGGTCATGATCCCAGGGTCCTGGGATCGAGTCCCACATCGGGGTACCTGCTCTGCGGGAAGCCTGCTTCTCCCTCTCCCACTCCCCCTGCTTGTGTTCCTGCTCTCGCTATGTCTCTCTCTGTCAAATAAATAAATAAAATCTTAAAAAAAAAAAAAAAGAAAAAACTTCAGATGTTAGCCCCAAGAAAGATTTTACTTACAAAATAGTTAAGAATGCTTTTATTTCAAAATACTTAACAAAGAAATTCCGTACAACAGCTGCATTGAATATTGTATGTAGAGGCACACTGCACTGCTCTAAAAAGAAATGTTATCTTCTCTAACGATACATCCTTTTTCAGTATATTAACTGAAAAGATATAAAGAGCAAAGACTTTAGGGAGTAGTATGAAAAACAGTAAGTACCCTTGGCTATCACTTCTGGTCACATATTGGTTACAAAGCTGTCAGGCTGTCTTGCAAGAGAACACCTGGTTTTCTTTCACCTACCAAAATCACTAGTGTCTAAACCTTTTATATTTCCAAAAAGCATAAAAATTTTAAATGTCATCTATTAAAACATCCTTTATTCTACATTAAACTGATTACATCTTACCATATAAATGAGCTCTCTATTCAGTTAAAATTAAGGCTTGGTTTCAAAGTACCATCTTGCATAGCCTAGAGCCCAGTTCTATACCAACAAACTTGATGAAGAAAACTAGGCAATCACTCAATTGATTATTACTTACAAAAGCTAAAAGATCTATAAATGGAGTTTTGCACTTCATTCTTTTGATTATACCTGCATTTCTTCTCTTTGCTAAACACACAGTCTTTATAAGCCCAAATTTCAAAAACTACCAGGCCATTTAGTTGCATTACATAATAGGATCATATTTCATTAATGTTAAGCATGCATTCTCACTGAACAGATGCTTAGCTTTCCTCTCAAGGCTCAACTTACTAGAAAATTAACAAATAGGGCCGCCTGGGTGGCTCAGTCCTTAAGCGTCTGCCTTCTGCTCAGGTCATGATCCCAGGGTCCTGGGATCAAGCCCCCGGGCTCCCTGCTTGGAGGGAAGCCTGCTTCTCCCTCTCCCACTCCCCCTGCTTGTGTTCACTCTCTCGCTGTGTCTCTCTCTGTCAAATAAATAAATAAAATCTTTAAAAAGAAAAAAAGGAAATTAACAAATAACTTTGTATTTTAAATGAAGTGCAATTATTGCAATTCTCCAAGTCTTAAAGTAAGTAATACTACATATCTGGTAGTAATTTTGGTCAGGATACTTGATTTTAGAATCCATTAAAAAAGAGATTTTGTCCAGAAGACTCTTATGAATAGGTCAAGTCTGAAATACAGCTCAAATACAAGTTGCTATGCGTGGACTGAAGTAAAAAGAAATCCAGTTATAAATATTATCTTACTTTACTGCATAAGGATTTCTACAAAGGTTCAAAACTGATTTGTAAAGTAAATCCTATTTTAGGTGTATAAGAAATGCTCACTCACTACAAAAATCACAGTTAAATCCTTTCATACAGTAAATCATCTAGATATAGAAAAAATACAATTTAAACTAGAAACCAGATGTGTTTAGAGAAAAACCCAAATGCCTTGAATTTCTCAAAAAGTAAAACCTAATTTCAATAGTAATTAAGTCACAACCCCAGTACTGCCAACTTAACTATTTAACAAGTGGGTAGCTCATTCTGTGAGTTATAAAAAAAACTTTAGTAATCTGACCTTTCCACTAACATCCAAAACACTGAGAAGACTGGGGGAAAAAAAATATGAAATACTTTTGTTACTTTGTGTAGTGTTTCCTCCACCGATACAAGAAACTTTTCAGTACTTACTAGCCTAGTCTATAATCTCTGTAATAATAGTTACATTACTTTCTCCTCTGTAAGAGGGCCTGAGGGGCGGGTGTTAGGCAATGTATATAATATAAATCCATACACAGGAGTGACCTGTCACTGTCAGGTCCTCAAAGAGCTTATAAACTAAACTCCCTTAGTACATTTGGAGCACTAGATTCAGTCACCTCACAACTAAATTGGCTGTTAATCCAGTGCCTGATTTTACACTAAAAACTTTGAAATTTTTAAGTCATTAAAATATAAATATCTACATTTAATTGTCTGTATTTCCAATATTACATCATTGCTATTTATCTTTTGATTCCTATCCTAAAAGAAAACAGGCATTTCCTAAGAATTTTGAAAATTAAACCACTCAAGGTATCAACCAGATTGATAGGATTGCTTATTGTAGTAAGAAGTTTTAGAAAGATACCTAAGTCTCAAGTTCAAATAGAGTAGCAAAAACTAAATCAGATGGCAGACTCAGAAGATACTGGCCTTGGGCATGCTTTTTCCATTACATATTTAAATGTAGCTACCTTACAAGTAAAATACTTCTCATTTTACTGCTACTGATAAATCTAGTATTTCTATCATTTACAATAAACCACACTTGTTTATCAAAATAAAGTATCACCAAAAGATAGACATCCACAAGTAGTGCATCTCTCGATTTCAAATAAAACCTAAGAAATTCAAGTAAAATTCCCAATAGGAAAAATGAGACAGATTAGTATCAAATCTAAAAATGTTTGTTTTAAAACTCCCCCCAAAATATAAAATAAATCACAGAACAAGCAATTAAAATAATTATGGCCTACACCATTTTCTTCAAGTTATTTCTTATGGCCCAAATTTTAGCTAGTCTCAACATCTTAAGTAACACTGTTAGGTGGGTGGCTAAATAAACATTCTTAAATGACTTCGTCAAAATTCAGAATGTTATAATAAATATGTTTTACTAGAAGCAAACAAGCCTAAGTTATCCAAGCAAAGTTATTAAGGTAAAAGGCAAAAAGTATGCATAAGAGTCACAGATGTAATTACCCCATTTTTGTACTACTAATTTGCTTCTTCCTTTCCACCTCCAGTCTTACTGAAGGTTGAATTATTCACTCTACCGAGACCCTTTCTCTACATACCTACATATACATACATACACACACACACACACACACACACACGTGTCGCTCTAAAAAGAGTTGGTACACTGTCCTGCACTGAAAGCATAAAACAAAATGCCTACTTGAAGATCAACCTCACGGTGTGACCTAGAATGGCCAACTATTGAATCCAAAAAATTGTGGGTGTGGCTTGACTGTTTTTTGGAGGAGCGGGGGGGGGGGGCGGCGAGGAAGGCCAGCCCGGGCGGCTGCCTGGTCTCTGCCCTCCCCCTCTGCTTTCGCTTTGTGCTCACAATGCAGCTCCTGTAAAGCGCTTCCCTCTCCTCGCAGCCGCCGCCATGTTAGACGCTCTCTCCATGTGCCCAGAGACCTAGCGATCCCCTCGGTCTAACCCGGACCCACGCCCCCCAACGAATCTCAATCGTGGCAGTCTCCCTCCCGTCCCTCTTTAGCGTCCCGGAGGGGCAAAGAGCCGCTGCAGAAAATCTTCTCGGGATCGAGCTGAGCGTGAGGCTCAGGGGGGCACCTAGACAATTGAAACAAAGAAGGAAACGTGGGGGCGCCCATCAGAGGGGGGCGGGGGGGTGGGTAGCAAATAGAAGACCCACTCAAAAGGGGCCTGATAGAGGAGCAATTCCAGGTGAAGATCCTAAACACGCTTCCCTCCCGAGAGAAGAGACAGTGAATAGGCCTCAGGTACATGGTAACGGAGCGGACCAATCCCACGGCTACAGGACGCACGCAGGCCGCCCCAACTCCACGAGGCGGTCGGTTGAGGCCTGAGCCCCGTCACCGGGACCCCTTTCATTTCTCCCCGCTGGCCCTCCGTCAAAGAAATCGGGCCTCGGTGACGGAGAGAAGAGCATCACTCAGTCCAGTCTCGTGACAGGACAGGCCCCCGCCCTCACGCATCCCACTCCCAAAGGCCAAAAAACCTGGCCCACAGCCGGAGGAGAGTAATAAAGCGCCCCGGGCGGAGCGGGGGGAGGGGGTGAGCGCCGCGTCCGGGTCAGGTGACAAGCACCTCCCCTAGGAGCCCGTTTTCTGGGCTCCAAGCTCCGTTTACTGAGCAAGCCGGGCGTGGGGGGTGGGGGTGAGTGCAGGGGATGCGCCAGGGACGGAAAGAGGGCAAGCCACAGCAGTCAGGGTCGGAGCATCCAACCCTCCCGTCCCCGCCAACTCCTGGCACCTTTTTCTTCTCCAGGTTCCGAAGTTTCTTGTCGATCACCCCGAGGATCTGCTTCATGGCCTCGGTCTGGACAGCGCCGGTGCCGGTTGCGGGGTGCTGGGAAGCCGGCGCAGCTGCCCCGGCCCCCGCCGCCGCCTCACTCCCGGAGGAACCCGACGGGGGTGGCGGTCCGGACGACTTGCTGCCGCTTCCGCTGTGGCTGGTGGCCGAGGGCATCTTTAGACCGTGAGAAGAAAGAAAAAGCGGGAGGAAGGAGGACAAGAGCGGCGAGTCAGGCGGCGGACGGGGAGAGACGCGGGACAAAACGCGCAGCGAGCGGGAGCCTGCGCGAGCGGGTGGGGGTGGGGATGGGGCCGGCGCGCGCCG